AGGATGGCTCAGCAGCGCCACGCCATCCCCCCACCGCTCAAGGTAGGCGTCGCTGGGCTGGGGGCACCCAACCAGCACCCATGGGTGCCGGTGTGGCCTTCACCCACCCCAGCACCCATGGGTGCTAGCATGGCCTTCACCCACCCCGTTGTCTTGCAGACAGAGGAGGACTACATCCCCTACCCCAGCGTGCACGAGGTAGAGCACCCGCTCCCCTCCAGAGATGGGTGCAAGGGCAGGCGAGCAGCTGGGTGGGTGGCCGGAGCACCCACCTCGGTTGTGGGTGCAGGTGCTGGGCCGGGAGGGGCCGTTCCCCCTCATCCTCCTGCCGCAGTTTGGGGGTTACTGGATCGAGGGCACCAACCACCAGCTGAGCGGGGCACCCGAGTCCCCCCCCACCCCGGCACCCAGCACCCGGGCAAGGCTTGAGGGCAACCACACGGCCAAGATCTACCGCAAGCACTTCTTGGGCAAGGTGAGGCCCCGTGGGTGCTCCAGGCGTGGGTGCTTGGCGTGGGTGGGTTCCCCATGGGTGTGGGTGGGCATGGACATGGAGACCCCATGGCATGGGTGCTCGTGCATATGGGTGCTCGTGGACATGGGTGACTCATGGGTGTGGGTATCTACGGGCATGGGAGCCCCATGGGTATGGGTGCTGTTGACTCATGGGTGTGGGTATCTACAGGCATGGGAGCCCCATGGGTATGGGTGCTGAAGGACCTGGGTGCCCCATGGCATGGGTGCTCGTGCGAATGGGTGCTCATGGACATGGATGCCCCGTGACATGGGTGCCCCATGAGCACGGGTGTGCGTGGGCATGGGGGCTCCATAAGTATGGGTGTCCGTGGGTGTGGGTGCCCAGGAACCTGGGTGACCCATGGCACGGGTGCTCACGGGTACGAGTGGCTCACTGCATGTGTGCCCGTCAGTGTAGGTGCTCCATGGGCGGTGGTATCTGTGGGTGTGGGTGCTCATGGACACGGGTGCCTCGTGTGGATGGGTGCTCAGGGTTATGGGTGCTCAGGCACCTGGATGCCCCCATGGCACGGGTGCTTGTGCACATGGGTGTCCATGGGCATGGGGACCCTACGAGTGTCTGTAGGATGGGTGGCGCATGGCACCCATGGGTGCCTGCCAGCGTGAGCACCCATTGGTGCGGTCACGGGTGTTTGGCCCCCTCCCCGCAGGAGCACTTCAACTACTACTCCCTGGACCCGGTGCTGGGCCACCTCGTCTTCTCCCTCAAGTATGACGAGCAGGAGCACCTCCACCTGCTGCTGCGGTGAGCAGGGTGCCAGGGGGCACCCATGGGTGCTGGTTGAGGATAGGGCACCACCCTGACACCCCCCCACACACACACCTTGCCCCACAGCACCCGTGCCCGCACCCTGCACGACGTGGTGCCCATCTCCTGCCTGGCCGAGTTCCCCAACGTGGTGCAGATGGCCAAGGTGGGTGCAACACCTCCGGTGCAACACAGCACCCATGGGTGCCCCCCGCCCCCCCCGCCCCCTCCCAACCCCGCAGGCATCCCGCCTCATCCTCGCCTTCGACGAGCGACGAGTCAGCAACCACTTCAGATTTGGGGTCATCT